AAAAAAACGGCCTACAAAATACGGTATTTCTGCCTTTTCGAACTCGGGGCCTGATGTTACCGCCTTTTGCTGTTATTTCTGCCTTTTCGAACTACGGCCATTTTTTCATTGCCCATTCATGTTTTTTTTGCCTTTACAGTTCGAAAGTGTGGTACTACCGCACTTGTTTCTTTTTTTTATTATGATCACGAGACTCAGGAGTCAGGGCATACTCACAGTAGCACTTTTCCTTCTAAGCTCTGGACGTGATTGCAGTCAGATTCATCCAGTTCTGGCCGTAGTTGCAGTCACATGAATTTAGGAAAGGGGTAGTGTGAGTATGCCCTCACTATGGTACATACTACATAGTCCTTGGGGTGCTTGGCGGTCCTAGTATACCTGCTGTGAATGCGGTGAAGCTGTCAAGGTTGCGTCGCTTGCGGGAACATGGAATCCGGGACCCCTGCTGTTCATCTCTGGGACTCAAAGAGAAGGAAGTTTGGTTCAGTAATAGACCCATTCTAGCTGTCACGTGTTGTGGGCAGAGGGTGTGAACCCTGCATACCCCACATTTCGTGGATTTCGTAACATTTTTTTGTTCTTCCCAAAAGCAAAACCGTTGTTGTTGGCTTGAGGAATTTCCCCCTTCTGATTCCCATGCTGTCCGGAATGGTCCGGAACAACATGAAATACAAAATTATAAAATTATATACATCGGATTACATCATAAAAAAGAATAATGTGAGAAAAGTGAAAAAAAAAGAGAAGGAAATGAAGATGCGGAATGTACATACAAGAGGTGCCTTTCAAACGCCTGGTGGGCGGAAACAAGAAAAAGAGTATTAGGGAGCACACGAGCGAAACTGGAAGACCTTGAGATGGGGACTAGAGGCCTGTGAGACTGCTAGGACCTCTCCCCCCCTCCCTCACCTCGCCCTACTTGCGATCCCCCTGGGGCCAAGTCCCACTAGCAGCTTTGAGTTTCCTCAACGCCTGAATCTGGACGTGTTTGTGGAGAGGTGCGGTTCAGGAAACGCAACTCGATTTCTGCACATCTCCACAAACACGTCCACATTCAGTCGTTGAGGGAGCTCAATGCTGCTAGTGGGACCTGGCCCCTGCTGCGTGATTGGGTGCTGCTAGTAAGCTTCCCGATCAGGCAGGGGAACCCCTGACGAAGAGCCAGGTTCTCGAGAGGGGCGTGGTTTGTAACAGTCCCCGCCTTGGGCCAGTGACTACCTTCTTCCCCCGAATACAGCGGACAGTCATTACAGCTGTATTTGGGGAGTATCTGTCAGTCTAAATACAGCTATAATGACCGTACGTTATATTTGGGGGAAGAAGGTAGGGCCGCAAGGGCAAAGCTGAATCTTAAGCCTTTTCCTTTCTCCCGTTCCCTCTGGTCTTACCCCTTCTATGCTGTGGAAACATGCTTTCCACCGTTTCCGGTGATTAGCAACTGGACTGAATGCCACTTAGAATAGAAGGGGCTGTTTTGTTTGGAAAAAAAAGGAAAAAAAAAAAGAAAATGTGCATGTGCCTGGTTGTGAGCCTAAGAAAAATGGCTAGGTTGGGCCACCCGGTGTGACCTGCTGTGCTCTATGACCCCCAGGGCCCCAGCACGTCAGATCTTTCTCGGAAGTGCCAAGTTCTGCTCACCTGTCTGCCGCCCAAGCATACAACTCCCTCGTGCCCCACACAATCACATACCAGGCACAGATCCAAACATTCCTTCTCCCAAAAAAAAAAAAAAAAAAAAAACAAAACAAAACAAAAAAAAAAATTCCTTCTTCTTCTTCTTCTTCTTCTTCTTCTTCTTCCTTTATTTATTTATTATTATTATTATTTTTTGAAAGCCCTCTCGCAAGTAGGATGAGAGTTGAAGACGGCTTGATCGGGTGCATTAGTGGGGACACACGTTTAACAGAAGGCTGAAAATTGCTGTTTTTGCTGACAGTTCTGGTGAAAAATTCAGCGAAAAAAATCAAATACAAAGTTATGAACTATATGGGCTCATAGTGCAAACATCAAAAATATAAAAACAGTCCAAAGAAAACGAGCAAGAAAACCCAAAAATAGTAAAATACTATAAAACCCTAGCACAAAAACACTTTTGGAGTTAAAATGAAGCGTTCAACGAATCCAACGAAATGCCAACTTTTTCATTACTGATCCAAACATGTCAAAACTTGGACGTGTGTTAGTGGGGGGTGATACTCACAGCCTCCACGCGTGCCACCCTGGCAGTTGACTCCAATCTATCGCTGGGGAACACTGCCTGCTGGAGACCAGGTCCAGTCTTCCTTATGACATGTTGAAGACGTTTGTATACAAATGCTGACAACGAGCACTGTACCCTTCCCGGGGCGCCCGAGGGTGGCCCGTTGCTCGATTAGGAACTTAGTAGGAAGTGGTTAGGGGTTATGAGACTGCTGAAGGAGAAATGGGGTACCCCCAAATGCCCAATCCCTGCACACTGACTTGAGTCAGACTACACACCAAACCAATTCAAATCCACCAGGTGTCATGTGGTAGTGGGAATAGGTCCGGGAAATCCGCCGGGGGGGGGGGAGGACATTAGCACCAATCTCAGTCCACTTCTTCAAGCGCAGCTGATAGTTCTGTTGACAGCTTTCCTGGCTTTGCTGTTCCCCGGACTGCCAGCCATCCGACTACACGTTGCAGTAGACCATGAGGCTATAGCAGAAACATGTTAGAGATTGCGCTGTGGCAGAAGCTCAGCAGGCAATTGTGCTATGGCAGAAGCTCAGCAGGCTGCTGCTCTACGGCGCAAGCTCAGCAGTTGATGACGCGTTGGCTTTCGCATGTAAAGCATCTGGACTCGGTTGCTGTGTGATGCTACATGGTGCGCGCCGGCCGCAAACGTGACACACGCCGGCTGGCTGCTAACATGACGGGGATGAACCGCGAAGTTTGCAAGCTTGGGGGAAGGAGACTTCAGCT